GAGGGGGAGAAGCCCCTAGTGCCTTAACAGTCAGAGGAAGAAACTTAAGAACCATCCCAAATTGATCAGGCAAGTGGCAACAGCAGATTTATACCTTCCGATTTACAAGATTATGCTAATATAGGTTTCAAAGCAAAGTTGTGTTCTCGGTCTGGTTTGCCTGGGAGAACTGACAATTAAGTATTGCTGTGTGCCAACATTCTTTTGTAATACAGATGCATAGAAAAATATCCAAAGGAAGAGAATATATGTAGTTCAGGTTGAACTCTGGAGTCCTTGGTTCTCTCTGAGCTTGCTTGGTTGTTTGCTTACAGATCTTTCACTACCCAACTAGGTAACATCATCAGTCACACTTCAAACAAAGCTCTTTTTATGACCACTCCACTGTATTCATCAAGAGAAAATTGGGTGCCTAAAGGTTTTGAGTTAGCATATGTGTTCTAGATATATCCTGGCCTAGTTAAATTAGAGATAAAGAACATTTTTTTGCCCAGGATTCATGTTTTTTTCTAAAGTTTCTTAATGAATAAGTCCCTGTTCCATTTTTTCTTCCAGAATAAGGTGCAGAGCTCTAGAGTCTAAACTGTAAGTAAGATGGTGAAATTGACTGAATGGAAATGATTATACTGAATATAACAAATCTGTTTTTACAGTGCAATGTTAAGAGTAATTGGTGTCAATATAGAGAACATTGATGTGATATTTCTGAAATAGTAGTTATGGACCGCCCTGCTCTCGCTCTGTGTGTGTGTGTGTGTGTGTGTGTGTGTGTGTGTGTGTGTGTGAGAGAGAGAGAGAGAGAGAGAGAGAGAGAGAGAGAGAGAGAGAGAGAGAGAGAGAGAAGAGAGAGAGAGAGAGAGAGAGAGAGAATTAGAATTAGAATAAGAATAAGAATAAGAATATGAATAACCATATATAAAACTGGGCTTTCTTATTTGTGGTACACAGATGTGTACTGATTTTTTTCAATTGGAGACTATGGAGTATTCACATTTTACAAGTTTTATGGGCATATGGAATCTTTTATTTAGTATATTCATTCTTTTGTGCCATGCTAACATGGACTTATTTTTTCCTTCACTTATAAATTTTTACAGTTCTTATCATTCATTCCATTTTCCAAGGTAAATTAAGTCACCCTTATACATGGAGAGAGATTTCATATAAAAAGAAAAAATACAGTCTGCAGGCCGTCACAGTAACTTGAAACAAAAACTATAACGGCAGACTTCTTTGTTTCTTTTACCTCCCCTGTCAATGTAGGATAGCACAGGAAATGAATCACCTGCTCAAAGGTTTTTTTCCCTTTACTCTTGTTCAAATTTATTCATGAATTTTGCTATTGCTACTATGCAAAGATAAGGAAAGATGAAAAAAGAACAGGATGATTATCTCTGCATGGGTGAAATAAAAATGACCTAGCTAAAATATTTCAATAATCTAATCCATCTTGGAAAGGAAAGAAAGAACATATGAACATCAGTTAAGAATCCCAAGATTTAAGCTGATTCAACTGAAGAAATCAGTTTTATGAACTGGGGTTTTACAACTGTTTAAGATTTTATCAGCAGTTACAGTGTTTTCTCTCCCACCAGAATTTTACTGGATTCCATTTTATTCTCAGTGACAAAATAATATCCTGAATGTAGTTTGTGACCATTGCCAAGCCACTGCTAAGTCGTTCATAAACAAACCATAAATTCTGTTTGAAACACTTCATTAATTCTCTATTTGCATGAGGACGATATCATGCAATAGAGGAAATAACAAAGTTATATGAAAACAGAAATAAAAAACCTCTTGTGTGGTATGTGTATATATAAAATTTGCCTTTCTAAGTATGTGTGTGTGTGTGTGGGTACATACATACATACATACATATATACATACATACATACATGCATAGAGTGGCAAATTTTTATCATATGATCATGGAGATGCTGCAACAATTATAAGTGTGAAAAATGGTCATAAGTGAAACGTCAAATGGTCACTAAACGAATGGTTGTAAATTGAGGATTAAATGATAGTTGTATATAAACAGGAGGCTGGGTACAAAGGAACAGATTTAGGCTGAACTCTAGCTTTTGGAATAACAGCTTTCTAATTCCAGAGTTGGTTCATCTATAGTTATGGAAGGGATCGACCCCTTTGCGGCCTCTGACCCGGCGCCGATCTCATTTAGCTCCTTGGTTCACTGAGGAGCTGAGGGAGTTGAAGCGCCGGAAAAGACGCCTAGAGAGTAGTTGGAGGGCCAGTCTTTCTGAATCTGACCGGACACTGGTAAGAGCTCATATTAGGAATTACCTAGTGGCGATAAAAGCAGCGAAATGTAGCTATTTTGCTGCTCTTATTGCGTCATCAGATAATCGCCCGGCCGCCCTGTTTAGGGTGACCCGCTCCCTGCTCCACCAGGAAGCGCGGGAGGACCCCTTGGAGGGTAGAGCCGAGGATTTTGTTCAATATCTGTATGACAAAATCGCTCAGATTCGGGAAGATCTGGACTCCGACTGGATAGTCTCAGGGGGAGGGACTGGGGCAGGTCTTGAGAATGTTATCTGGGATGAGTTTGATCCTGTGACCCCTGAGGACGTGGACAGGATTCTGGGTAGACTGAACGCGACCACTTGTTTATTGGACCCGTGTCCCTCCTGGTTAGTGCTGGCTTCTCGGGAGGTGACACGAGGCTGGTTCCAGGGGATTATAAATGCTTCGCTGGGTGAGGGTGTCTTTCCTGCCACCTTGAAAGAGGCGGTGGTGAGGCCTCTCCTCAAGAAGCCTTCCCTGGACCCGGCAATGTTGGTAAATTATCGTCCGGTCTCCAACCTTCATTTTGTGGCGAAGGTTGTTGAGAGTGTGGTTGCGCAACAGCTCCCCCAGCACCTGGATGAAACGACGTATCTGGATCCGTTCCAGTCGGGCTTCAGGCCCGGGTACAGCACGGAAACGGCATTGGTCGCGTTGGTTGATGATCTTTGGAGGGCTCGGGACAGGGGGTGCTCCTCTGTCCTGGTCCTGTTAGATCTCTCAGCGGCTTTTGATACCATCGACCATGGTATCATGCTGCACCGGTTGGAAGAGTTAGGGGTGGGAGGCACTGTGTTGCGGTGGTTCTCCTCCTTTCTCTCTGACCGGTCGCAGTCTGTGTTGACAGGGGGAAGAGGTCGACCCCGAGGCCCCTCATATGTGGGGTGCCGCAAGGGTCGGTCCTCTCACCTCTCCTGTTCAACATTTATGTGAAGCCGCTGGGCGAGATCATCCGTGGTTTTGGGGTGGAGTACCATCAGTACGCTGATGACACCCAGCTGTACATCTCCACCCCGGATCACCCCAACGATGCCCTTGAAGTGATGTCCCGGTGCCTGGAGGCCGTACGGATCTGGATGGGGAGGAACAGGCTCAGGCTCAACCCATCCAAGACCGAGTGGCTGTGGTTTCCGACGTCCCGATATAGCCAGTTGATGCCATCACTGACTATTGGAGGTGAATCATTGGCCCCCACGGAGAGGGCTCGCAACTTGGGCGTCCTCCTGGATTCACGGCTGTCTTTAGAAGAGCACTTGACGGCCGTGACCGGGGGGATTTTTTATCAGGTCCGCCTGATTCGCCAGTTGCGTCCCTTTCTGGATCGGGACTCGTTACGCACGGTCACTCATGCCCTCGTCACCTCCCGCCTGGACTATTGTAATGCTCTCTACATGGGGCTCCCCTTGAGGAGCACCCGGAGGCTCCAACTGGCACAGAGTGCGGCTGCGCGGGTGGTAATGGGAGCGACATGGCGCTCCCATGTAACACCTCTACTGCGCGAGCTGCACTGGCTCCCGGTGGTCTTCCGGGTGCGCTTCAAGGTTTTGGTTACCACCTTTAAAGCGCTCCATGGCTTAGGGCCTGGTTATTTACGGGACCGCCTACTACCACCAATAGCCTCCCACCGGCCAGTACGCTCTCATAGAGAGGGACTCCTCCGGGTGCCGTCAGCCAAACAGTGTCGACTGGCGGCCCCTAGGGGGAGAGCCTTCTCTGTGGGGGCACCTACCATCTGGAATGAGCTCCCCCCGGAGATACGGAGGATCCCGGATCTGCGCTCCTTCCGCCGTGCTGTGAAGACCTTTTTATTCCATCAAGCGGGCTTGGCCTGATCTCTTCCCTTTTTTAAATACGTAAATTTTAATCTGTTTTTAAATTATTGGGGTATTTTAATTTGTCTGGGCCAAATAATTTAATTTGATTTTATCGGGTTTTTAAATTTTGTGTATTTATGTATTTTATTGTTGGCTGTTCACCGCCCTGAGTCCTTCAGGAGTAGGGCGGTATACAAATCAAATAAACTCAAACTCAAACTCAAACTTATGTAGAACTAGTTAACAATCTAGGGATTCTCCTGGACTTGCTTGAGCAACCGGTAAGACCATGCCTAGGTAGCCTATGCACAATTACAACTTATCAGAGGTGGGCTTCACATAATTTAACAACCAGTTCGCCCAGAATAGAATATGTGAGTGTGTGTGGCCTTCTGCGCATGCACTTTGCTCATGTGCATGGCTTGCACACATGCGTGCGGCTTTATAAAGGCGGCTAAATAGGACGGCATAGTGCTGGGGAGGGCGGGCAGGCCAACCCACAGGTCACAACTACCGGTTCGCCCGAACCAGTTCGAACTCGCTGAATCCCATCCCTGCATCTTATGCCTCAATTGAAACTTTTCTGGAGCATCTAGATTTGTCCATGTAACACTATTAGCCCTGAAGCTGCACTGGTGCCAGTCAGCTTCTGATTTAATACAAATGTTGCAAATCACCTTTAAAGTCCATCCTGGTCAACTCTAAGGCCAGCTCCAAATTGAATCTGCCCATACTACAACATTTGGATTCTCCTTATCTTGTTACTTCTCAATGCTATAGGATAACTTGTCTGTCTCTCTTCCTATCAATCATCCCTGAGATGCACTGAATTATATTTAATAAGTTTAAGTTTCACTATTCAAAGTTTAATATACTCACGGCATTCCTTCTCATCACTTTCATCAAAGCAGTCCGGCAGTCCATCACATTGCCAGGCTCCTGGGATACAGCGTCCATTACTGCACATGAAGTTTCCAGGAATATTACATTCATTTGTGAAATTATTCCAAGGCAAGAGTTGGCTTTCTGTAAATCAGGAAAGATAAAATAAAAAGAAGAGGTCAAGTTTACCTAAGCAGAAATTATTTTTGCATTTGAACCAATGTTGCTGGGAGACAAAAACATACATATATATGAAAGGAAGGTGGAAAGAGCAGAAAATTAGCATCAATATTAGCAAATTGATCTGTCGTTTCTTAAATCAATATTTTGAAGTTCCCATTTTTTTCTATGCTTTACAGGAAGCTCTTACATTCTATCATTCAAAAATTGTATATCTCTGAATAATAACATGAGTTGGGAAAACTGAACACTTATTTCGTTGCAACTAAGTGTTTGAAATTGAATAACATGCAAACTATTTTATTTGTTCAGTTTGTAATTCAACACATTTGGCACACATTATAGCCATAGCTATAGACCTTTAATTCACTTTTTCCTTAGATTTCAACACTTAACAAATGAAATTGAAACTCAGTTTAATGAAGCAATTCAATCAAAATAATATGTAGTTTCCAAATTAATTCAAGGTGAAATTCTGAGAGATTTCTTATATCAAGGTACAAATCTAGGTACTTTCTGAACCAGAATGGTTTTTAAAAAATCCCTTCTCTTTAAGCTCTGACACTTCCTAAAGTTTATTTTCATCTTGATTGCTGTAGAAAGAAGTTCATTCCCAGGGCAAAGAAAATAATTCCCATGGGCACCTTGCCCATTGGATTGCATTTCTAAAAGACTTTTATTAAATCAATATAATTCGCAGATTGCCAAATACAGTAAGCTTATTTAACTGAACATAAATAAATAGAGCTGGCAGGTTGCAAAAAGCTACAGACATCTACTTTACAAATGCATCTGAGTCCTATTTTATCCTCATAGGATTCTTAGAAAATAAATGACTAATGCCTGAAACCCAATTGTGGTATAATTTGCTTTCTAAATTTCAAATATATGATTAACCCAAAACATTACCTATCAATTGTCTATCAGAGAGACTACTGAACATTGACTACCTCAAGTGTTAACTTTGTCTCAAGTTACATCAATATGATGAATTAAATTTCAGTGAATTTACTGAAGCTTGTAAACATTGTGCAGAAGTCACTATGATACTGGCAGAGTACAGATCTCTTATCGGTCCACTGATTGACTCTGTGCCAGACATAATCACTCAGCCTGACCTACTTCCAAGACTCTTCTCAGAGCGTACTGGGATAACCTTAAGTACATTGCACAGAATCCTTTAAAGGAAGTTGATATACTAATATAATAAACATATGACTTAATCAAACAGCTCAAACTGTTATATTTTTGATTCCGGGAATCAAAAATATAACAAAGGCGTATTATACATCCTATTTGCATTCACATATCTTATGCACAATTGATATATTTGATAGAATATATCACAGGATATATGACACACACATTCATTATACATACAGTACAATGCTATGTACCATATTTTTCGGAGTATAAAATGTACCGGAGAATAAGACGCAGCTTAGTTTTTGGGAAGGAAAATAGGGGGAAAAAATCTGCCTACCAGGTAGTCATCTGGCTAGCGTCTTTAGTTTGGTCAGCTTCAGCACATTAGTTTGCTCGTTTTTTATCCCCTGCTTGGGGATAAAAAATAGCTTCTAAGGCACAGCTGAGAGGAAGCAGCAATGAGAAAAGCAGGCAAAGCACGGGGGAGATCGCTTCACTCAGCTAACGCCTAGTTAGGGCTGAAAAAAAGCTTCTAAAGAACAGCTGAAAGTCGGGGCAAAGCATGGAGATCGCTTCACTCGCTAGCGCCTCGTTAAAGCACAGTGGAGAGTCAGACAGGCAAAGCTGAAGATCGCTGGCTCGTTAAGGCTGAAAAAAAGCTTCGAAAAAGCTACATTTGGAGCATACGATGCCCCCAAATTTTCAGCCTCTTTTAGAGGGGGGGAAAGGTATGTCTTATACTCCGAAAAATACGGTATATATAAAATGTTCACACTTTGTTAATTTAGATCACTGTCAGTCTTCACTCAGACCCAGCAGTAAATCCTTATCCTCCCCAAACTAACAAGCCATAGGCATCCTTGAGAAAGGTGGAGAGGTGATACAACACATACTGCAATGTCATGACACAAACTCCACCTCTTATGTGCTTCTGTGGAGAGTCACTGTGCAGTTCTCGCTGATGAAGACTGGTTTGTAGTTTGCCTCAAGGACAGAGTGTTGTCTATTTGTCAACTGCGTGAAAAGCATTAAATAGACAGCTAAAAGGCTGCCTTGGGTTCTTGGGTTAATTGAGACACCTGTGAGCAAGCATATCTGCCTTCTATAGTAAAGATGTGTATATCGGGTGGCTTTATCAGGCAAAGGAATTTTGGTTGTTTGTGCTTTGTGTGTCCTTGTGCGCTGGAGGTGCTATACAGTACCAAGGATCAGGGTGATTGAAGTCACAGGATGAAAGTAGGGCAACAGAGTCAGAGAGAGGATCCCCAGAGGAAAGGAATATGGTTACTTTTTGCTTGCAGAGCAAGCAAAATTGGACAGGAAAATCTGTGCAGCAGACTGACTGGTGAAATGAAGCTACATTGGGGGCAAAAAACAGCAAAATAGCACAACAAAGTGTGACCAAGATGTTTACTTTTCAGGACATTCAGAAAAAAAAACCCAAACAGATTATTTTTCTCTCTCTAGGCTAGAAACACGAAAGTGAAAATAAAGCAAAGCAGCATTTGGAAGAGGTTAACCTAACCAAACAGTGATTAAATTTAACAACAGCATAGAAAGAAAGGAAAGACTGAAACAGTTGAAGACCTGCAAGGAACTCTGTACATGATAGTATATTACATTACTTAAGCTAGGACCACTTTATATAAGCATAGGTTATATATTTTATTTGCACTGTAAACCAGGGATCTCCAACCTTGGCAACATTAAGACTTGTGGACTTCAACTCTCAGAATTCCTCAGCCAGCTGAAGTTGAAGCTGAAGCCAGCTGGGAGTTGAAGTCCACAAGTCTTAAAGTTGCCAAGGTTGGAGACCCCTGCTGTAAACTATAAAAGTTACTTTATTTTGCAAAAGAAGACTGCCCGGGGGTCTGGAAAAGTTCTTTCCCTTTCCCATCCTCTGACAATCATAATACATGTACCAAGGGTAGGCTTTGAATCATGATATCAGAATGCAAAGTTTCAGTATTTTGGCGCCATCATGGTGAGCCTGTGAAAGTTTACTGCCTTCATCCTGAAAGAAGGAAGATCTATTAGAAGCAGAAAATCTGCCTACTATCAAACACAAGATTCAAATCCTACATATTTGTCAACTCCCTAATTTAAATGCCATCACTTTTTTCCCCTTGCTCTTTCAAATCAGTTGGCTATAGAAACCAGGAGGCTATAGGTCCTAGTGTCACCTTAGACCTGAAAGCCAATTGGATGTCTTTGGACCAGTCATTTTCTCTCACCCCCAACTCACTTAACTGGGTAATTGTTGTGGGAAGAAAATAGGAAGAGGAAGGAGTATCACATATGTTTGCTGCCTTGAGATGTTTATAAAATAATAAAGGAGGGATACAAATCTAATAAATAAGTAAATAGACTTTTGGCCATTCTTTTCTCAATCTGGAAAATAACAGGCAATTGCTCAATATTAAAAGTATCCGAAACAGTATTTAGTCCACCTGCCAGCTTCAGCCCTTATAAACATAATCTAAAGGCATCTGTTGCAAATAAAAGAATAGCTATTGAAGATTCCCAGAGGACTCGCTAATCCCTTTGACTAATTCTAATCCTTCTGCCTGCCACCATTTACACTGATTTTTTATTATACCCAAATCTAAGAAGAGATAATTACAAAAACTAGTCAACAAAAATCAATATAATTCAATTTGTTTGGAGAACAGAGGGATGCTTCAACTTTTATCCTAGCATGCATTAAAATCTGTAATCCAAAACTAATAAAAACACCACATTAATTTCTACAATTCTTTGCTTTAATAACCATAGCAAAGGTCACCAAAATGATTGTTTCAAGATTAAATCATTCAGATGAAGAATGAGATAAAATTAACTGCATGTTACCGTCCCTCAGAACAGGAAGAACAATCCTGTATCATCCAAAAGACTAATTAATTTATCAATGAATACATTTTTTGAATTATAGAAACTTTATGCAAATGTATCAATTGTTAAGATGCCAAAAACATCTTGTTTATGCTGCAAAAGATTAACATGGCTACCCTTCTGCATAAAGAAATATAATTGGTAAAAATAAAATCTCCTTTGAATAGAGCTTGACATGTTCATGTAATTTTCTTGTCAATACAGAAAATTGACTTTCATTACTAGAGCTTGCAGGTCCTTGGAATTTTTAGCTAACAGACTAGTACTTATTGGTATTTATTCAATTTTAAAACCATTTTCTTTTGATCCACTTAGTGCTTTAACTATTACTTTAACTATAAGCTTTTGTTTGTTTATGGTATTTTCTACATAACTATGTTATGTAACAACCCACTTCACCCTGCAGTTCTATCAATTTAAGTACATTTGATAGTATCAGCTTTGAAGAGAAGTATATTTGCTTAAATTAAAATATTCCATTTGCAGGGAAGGACTATATTCATACTACAGAGTTCATTTTTAGTAGAAGATACATAGCTGAAGAGCTAAATCATTGAGTACAACTGTCTGCAACAGTTTACACCATTAGTCCTTCTGATTAAAAATGATTTCATTCTTTTTAGCAACAAACTAGAATCATTCCAGAGATCAATGTATTTTTCCAGAAAAGTAATAATTGTTCCCTAAAATTGTTCTGTCTTCTCAGAAACTGTGGGTCATATCTAAGTGATTCCCTGATATTGAAAAATGTTTTAGCCATTAGCCATTAGCCACTGCTTACAAAGAAAATTTATACAAAATGTTTTACAGGTGGCATCTCCCGCTCACAAGATTAGCAAAGATAAACGGGAACTTATCACCACAATGTTGGAAATGTACCGTATTTTTCGGCATATAATACACTCCGGACTATAAGACGCACCTAC